ACCGGGCCTCGAAGATTGTAGGTGTTAGGGTTAACCGTCTTAGCCTTAACTCTTATAAGAGTGTGCGATAGAGTTTGTGATTACTAAATTACACACAAGTCACCGTCCTGCACTCACCATGCCACGGAACAAATGCTAGACATCTTCGGCAACGACAGTCAAACTATCTACTGCATGGCACGATGTGCTCACAGTTGGAAAGCTTTCATGGCTGACCTATTAGTGCGATTTGGAGGCGCGCATGATACATGCAGGCCATTTGATTGAGATCACGTTCATAAGGTTGCTTGTTTTTTTTCTTTCAAAATACAGTTTTAAAACCCTGCATTTGCGAACTTGGGACATTCATCGACCGGATTAAGCAGTCTCAGGGCTCTAATGAGGGGAATTACTCCTCGGTATTCCTCTGCTTTTATCGTTTAGAAGTTTGGCTCAACTAACTGGTGGTCGAGTTGACCGGGCTCATCTGTCTATCATATATTTTTGCCATGAGAATGCTTCTAAATCTGTATTAACCTCACGACGCCTACATGGAACTTCGCCCAGTTACCATTATCCCTAGTAAATTGAATGCATTTTGTTTACAAAAGCGAACGGACTCTTGATGATAGCCGTTTTACTGTCACCACTGGTGACGAGGACACCTGTCTGTCTCAAGCGTACAACAGCCAACTGCACCGCACATCCAACCGCAATGACAATGCCTCCCAATTGAGGTCAGTCACCTCTGAAAGAACGATGACATGTAAAAGGTCCGCCCAGGGCAGGCGAAGTCGCAGCTCCACAGTTCTGCTGTCGCCCGCCATGACACCGCCCACGCCTGCATATTCAGGGCACTCGAGTGTTTCCTCTAGCGATGAAGCGGAGGAGACGGAGGAAACGGACGTGGCCAGTGGCAGGAGGACGTCGATAGCAAAACTGCCACCATCTGTGGAGGTACGTAACAGGCCGAAATCCACTCAAGATCTCAGTCAGCTGGATGCCATGTTCGAGAGGCTCACTACCAAGTTCGTTGAAGTTAGTCTTTCCACACTGTCTTCTGGTTTCATTGCTCTTATTTTTCTGTATTTACTTGTCGTGTTTCTTTTGCTACTTTGGTAGGACTGGCTTTAGAGGCACTGCTTGCCTTTGACTTATAATAATGACAACAACCTACTTTTACACTTCCAGTTGCCCGACTTTCCCTTTATTTCGTTAAATTCCACCAATATAAGATCGAGTTTCCATTAATAGGCATAAGTTGCCTGAGCAACAGGAGTTTATGTTGATGGAGTTGATTCTATTTAGCTCGCTAAAATAAATATAAGTAGCTTTAATTTAATATTTTTCGATGACTTTCGACACAACTAAATATTTATTTACGCTCGTTAATCAAGAATCAGATGTCTAACCACCAATTCCGTAAGACAGTTGGGCGGGGGGAATATATATTTCGGCGGCCGTACAAGACAGTTTTGCCGTTTCTTCGATCTCCTCAATTAATGGCAGTTTTTGATTTTTACAATTCGGTGCATATTCATTTTACGCTGTTTGTCTCTTTTGGCCCTGGTCTAGAATCTTGGAATTTCGCAGCACTTTACAAGAAGCCGGATTTCTGCCAAAATTTTCCATGTTTAAGTATTAAGAGCCAGGTAATTCAATGGGTGGGTGCCGTTGCAGAGCGGCAATTAATAACAATAATAATATGAATAATAATTGTACATCCTAATATTTTATATTTAATAATAATATTTAATAGTTGAACATCAGTACCTTAAAATGTCAACTAAGGACTCTCAAAAAAAACATTTGAGAACGTTTTAAAAATTAGAAGCACAGGTAACAAGCAAACAATAGTTAAACCGACAATCTTGTATGGCAGCCAAAATAGGTAAGGGTCGGAGTAAATGCTATTAGCAAAAGCACCCTTTATCACGAGACACTTGGCGTGGCAAGCTATTTGACTATCAGAGTATAGGAAGTTGAGGGGTTTACGCAACCAGAAAACTTGTTGCAAGGTTGTCCGAGTAATCGAGTTGCCGATTAAGCCTGCATGCTCTGTAGTCTCTGCCAATAAGCCAGTATTTCTACAATTCCTTTTTGATGCGCTTATTTGCATTGTGAACCAAGCCTGGAGTGCGCTGGATTATTGTCATTCCAAAAAGTTCGAGTAAAAGATTTGTTGAAACGGGGGGGGAGCCACAAGCACTACTTCTGTGCCAGTATATCGTGAATCCAATCCCAAGTGTGGAACACCTAGGATTTGAATCCGGGTTCTTTGATAACTGAGTCTAACGTTCTACCAGTGAGCCACGGCCCGTCGTCCTGTCAGTTGAGATTGGAATATGAATTCTGATGATGGGGTGGCGTTCACTGATCAAGATGCGGGACGTGTTGGTCCTGTTGTGCCTTGGAGCTCAGACTCGAGTCCTCGCAGGCAGTCT